GTCTACCCAATTTGCAGTAAAATAAAAACAGCAGAGAGAGAGATAAAAATTGCAAAAAAAAAGAGAATCCCCCCATTTACAGCAAAATGAAGACAATAGCAAAAAAAAAATAGGACCAAAAACCATGTAAATTGCAAAAAAAAAGGGAACCCAAAAGGCAGAGGTTAAGAATCTAGGGCATAAAAACACAAAACTCACAATCACTTGGAGCTTGAGTTTGAAGCTGCACACTATGTGACCAGGCTCAATGCTTTGGACCTGGAGACAGCTTGGAATTGGGTCAGTGTTGAAGCCATTTTGATGGGCAATTTCAGGCAAGGGTTCATTGATTCCAAGTGCTTCCAATAATTTGAGGGCACCATCCAACTTAGATGACGAGCTTTTGTGGTCCATGAATCAGCCAAAGTGAAGAAGATTGCTTTTGGTTTGAACCAATGGTTTAAAAAACGGATCGGTGATCCGGATAGGGTTTTCAAAAAATTGATCAGGATCGACGAATCGGCGATCCGGATCGAAAATCAGGTGAATCGATCAAAATAAAGTTTAAAAAAAATCCGAAAAAATCATTAAAATTCATTATAAATATTGTTTTTTAGGAATTCAATAAAAAATGAGGGTACTCCATTAAGAATTTTCATGTTTTTGAATGAATATGCGAATATTGATATGTTCTTTTCCTGCATGAACCGTCATTCAGCATTTAATTTACATCACACAAAAGGATAAACATATAATTATCATGGAATAAGTATATCAACATACATGGACTACAATAAAGCATAAAATTAGTAACATATAATCTAAAAATAAAATGATAGACGACGTTATTGTTCTTCTTGGTCACGCTGGTACCATTGATTGAATTCGTTTAACAATTTATTGATTCGATCTAAAAACGAATCATCGATATTAGCAGGCGTCTGACTATTCCCAAATCCCTGAGTGTTAGTGTTTTATTGTGTTCCCAATCTAAAATCCCCGAAGATTATCCATCCTTCATGCTCACCTGCACTA